GAATGGAAGTTGTTATACCCTTGGAGATTAGTTTACCGACCTTGAAGACCGAGCTCATTGAAAGCAGCAGCAACAATGCTGTCATCACACGTGATCTTGATTTAGTTGAGGAAAAGATATAACAGGCTGCCATAAGAATGGCTTCATATCATAGTCAACTTTCCCGAGCTTATAACAAGAATGTGAATTCCCGATCTTTCACACTTGGTGACCTAGTTCTTAGGCGCGTACTGGGATCGGCTAAAAATCCAGCACATGGGAAGCTCGGGGAAAATTGGGAAGGGCCATTTAGAGTATCCAGAGTAAGGGGCAGTGAATACTACGAATTAGAAACCCTAGATCGTAAAGCGGTACCACGCCCCTAAAACATTGCAAATCTTAGAAAGTTCTATTTCTAAAAAGTACCTTTTTAGATAGAGCTCCAAAGTGCCTTTGAAAATTTAAGGGTGCTCCTTACGAATTGATATGTGATTGACAGTGTACTGAGTTGAATTATTAATAAAAGTATTTGAAGATGTCATAATTCGTATCTTTCTTATACACATCCTACTGCTAAGGTAGGAAGGCAAAAAATCCTGATATAAGTTATCTACTTAAATCAGGCGCAGCTACCCGATCAAACCTAGTCCCTCAGCTAGGCATAACGATGCAAGCTGACTAGGGATGGGTTTGAGTCCAACCAGGTTTGCGGGTCAGTGCGGAGTAGAAACACTCAGTCTTCCAGAGGACTCTAAGTAACTCTACGAATCGCCCGAGCTCTTTGAAGCACGGTCGAGCAAGGGCCATAACTTCAAAGGCCCAAAGATTCTCTAAGTGTTCCTGCCAAGGAACCAAGCTCTTTGAAGAAGGCCCGAGTAAGAGCCATAACTTCAAAGACTCAAATATTGTCTAAGTATAAAAAGTGTTCCTGCTAAGGAACCAAGCTCTTTGAAGAAGGGCCGAGCAAGGGCCATAACTTCAAAGACTCAAATATTGTCTAAGTATAAAAAGTGTTCCTGCTGAGGAACCGAACTCTTTGAAGAAGGGCTGAGCAAGAGCCATAATTTCAAAGACTCAAATATTTTCTAAGTAGAAAAAGGTTCCTAAAGAGGAACCGAGCTCTTTGAAGAAGGGCCGAGCAAGGGCCACAACTTCAAAGACATGAATATTTTTTAAGAACAAAAGGGTCCCTGTTGAGGAACCGAAGTCTTTGAAGAAGGGCCGAACAGAGGCCACAACTTCAAAGACTAAGTATTTTCTAAGCAAAAAAGAAGGTCCCAAAAGGGGTACCAGGCTCTTTGGAGAAGGACCGAACAATGACCATAACTTCAATGAGCCTTAAATATTTTTATGTTATGACTTAAAATTTTATCTAAGCATTCATCAACACAAATTACAGAACTGAAATGAGCATTCATTAAAATATATTGCAGAAAAGTTGCGATTTTTTCATTCAAAAATACAAAAAGTTCTGGAAAATACAAGATAAAAATGGATTGCAAAATTTTTCTAAGTCTTCATCAGCAGGAAGATGGCTGGGACGAGCTCGGAAGAGTATGCTTGGAGAAAAGTTCAGAAGAGGGATTGACTTCGACAGCAACTAAAGTAGCCTGCCAGCCTTGGCTGAAGAGTGCCTCTTTGAGCTTAGGCATCTGCTGGGCAATATCAGCCTCTGCCTTGTTGACACCCTCATTGTAAGCAGCATCTGCCTTCTCTTCAACTTCTACTTTGTATTGATCAAACTCCTCAAGGAGTGTGGAATAGTCAAGTTGGGCTTAAGAGAGTTCAACATTGGTCTCGTGCTCGGATGCCTTCAACTTTTCATTCTCAGAACAAAGTTTCAGGTTCTCTTCGGATAGGCTTTGGTTTTTAGCCTACAGAACCTTCATCTCTTCGCAATGTTTGACATATTCTTCATCAACACTCTCTTTCTTGGCGAGGGCCAAAACTCGAGCATGGATTGCATCTTTCATCGTTTTGTCTTTACGTGTAATTCGAGTTCCGACCTCATGAACTTTTTGAAGACCCTAGAAAGTAAGAAGATTGAAATAACTTAGAAATATTTTCGAGAAGTAATAAGAAGCTCAAAAGAAAAGGAGATAGACTTACCAAAACCATATGCTGAATGGTCTGTTGGGACACTTCATCATCTGTTAGCGCCTCGTTCTTTGCAAGGTCCCGAAGCAAGATGACTCCCCTAGCAAGGCCAACTACAACATTGAAGTCTTCAATTGCTGAGTATTTTGAAGTAATTTCCTTTCTTTTGGCCCTAAGAACAGGGCGGAAAGGGGCGCTAGCTGGCCTTGGTGAAGAAGGGGTTTCGAATTCTGTTGTCTTATGCCTCTTCGGAGCTCGGTCCTCGGCAATCTCAAAAACTGAATCGTCGTCTTCAATTGGGGAGCGAACAGCGATTGGAGGGTCTGTCTTAATTGGAAAAGAAGTTTCAACATCTGGTGCTAAACTGGTTTGGTCAAGTGAGGGCAAACTTGCATCAACGGCTGTCGGTAGAGTCTCCTCGGGGATGACCTCGAGGATCGGCTCATTAAGGACAATGTTTCGAGGCTTGGCAGTTGATGGGGTCGGTTCACTGGACGGAACAAGCTCATCCGCAGATAGAAAATCTAGAAGGTTAATTGATTTACGTTTACTGGCTGCTTGAGAGGTTCTCTTCTTTCCTCGAGGTGCCTTCTCCCGAGCAGCTTGGATAGCCTCCCGATCCGCTGCGAGAGTTGCATTAGGTCGGTTCGGCACAACTATGAAGGATGAGTAGGTTGGTGTGTACCCAAGTAGGGTGTGGGCAGCTCAGCAGAAAAGCGATTCGTTGAAGTCCTAAACCTTCTGAAGTTGATCCAACTTCACAGAAGACTCAGGGACCTTGCCTTTCACAGTTTCTCCTACACCAGCACCATAGCAGATAAAAAAAAAAAAAAAGCAAGTACTTGGCAAGCCTTCTTCGTAAGGGCAACGGTAGGATGGGGTAGCACTGGGGGCATATTCCCAGTTGCCGGAGACAAAAACGACATCATTTTCATGACCCTTATTCGAGTCAGGAAGATGTGTGACTAGGTATCTCTTCTTCTTCCTCACTAAGAGATAGTAGCTATCTCTAGCGGCCTTGATGATATAGCAGTACAGAATCTCCCATAACCCCAGACTCAGACAAAGAAGCTTATTTAGAGAAGAAACACCCATGACAATTTGGAAGAAGTTGAGGCAACACTAGAGAGGACAAAGTTTTGCTGCAGAAAGGATCCAGAGAAAAAGAGGGTCAAAGGGAAACTGAATTCTAGCTTCGGTAATGGCACGAGTAGGAATAGGGATCCTTTCTCTCGTGCCAATCAGAGGCTCTTCCTTTTCGGCTACTCTGACGTCAACGTCATCTGGTATGTTGTACTTGGCTTTGACGGCGGGAACCTCAGAAGGAGTTAGAGGGGCCATTGAAGAAAAAATGAAGTAAATTCGAGAAAGACGAAACACAGAAGTAAAACTGAGAGAGAATAGGAGTCAGAAAACAAAAAGCAAAGTGAAGGAAATGCAAAGAAAGATGCGGTTTATGAAGAGGAAGGAATTTCAAAGGGTCGTATTTAAATGCCCTGAATATGCCGCCAAAACAAAGGGGGATGCTCCAATGTACAAATAGTAATGATGAGAAATCAAGAAAACGGCATACAGATGAAAGGCGTCTGTCAGACACTTTCTGGGGGCAAATGAAAGGGCTAGCCCTCAGAATTACACGTGTTAGAACATTAAATGAGCTCACGTGAGATTGACAAGATGGATCACATGACGAAGAAGTCATCCACCTGATCTTCTGATCCGACCCGAACTGATCAGTGAATTCGGCAAACAAAGAAAAGAGGTCAGCTCAATTTACCGAGCTCATGAATCTCTTCAACTATGCAAGGAAAGTGCTCGACTTGTACCAAGCCCAGATCTCCAGAATGCACAGTTTGTGCCAAGCCAAGTTTTCAAACAGTTTGGCAAAAGTTAATTGAGCTCGGCATTTGAAATGCCCGAGCAGTTCAAAACAATAAAAGGAAAATTAAATATTCGCCTAAAATCTAGACAATCAGATCAACGAAATTAAGGAGATTGAAGATATCAAGAGAAATTATTGGAGAAGTATCAGTTACTTCCCAAACTCAACTACTGAATTAAAGGAAGGTGTGCCACCTTGAATCTAAAATCGTGGAAACCCTAAGGGGATAATGACATATAAAAAGCAGAAGAGACCAAGGTGAAAGGTATGCTAAAATCTCCTGGTCTTCATACAATTTTTTTTATTCTATTACTGATTTAAGCATCGGAGTGCCTTCGATCAAAACACTTCAATTTTGGACAATTTGTTTGTTTTGCAGAAAGAAGATTGGGAGACAACAGATCAGAATTCTTTTCAAAAATCACATCACGAATTCATCATCTGAGATATTACCAGTTTTTTGTCTCAACACTTACAAATCATGCTCGAGGTTGATTACTCTCTTGCGAAAAGTTGATTTGCAGATTGGTGGGCAAAAGCACAGAGATCATACATCATACGTAATGGATCTTAGCAATGTAAAAGTTGGTTCATTTTGCTTAGAGAACACCGAAGAGAATAGCACGAGGGCCCAACCAACGGGAATATCGAAAAAATAGCTTTGCGGCAACTAAAAACAAGATACATGTAAAAGTATCTTATTCTACCGTTTCACTTTGTTTTAGCATTTTAATGATCAACGGTCAGAAACAAATCAAAGTAGTATCTATGGTTAAGATTCATGTGTTTCGGAATGATACTAAAAAGCATTTTTGATATCATTATGTATGGAATCGAGGCATGAAAGAAGACGAACAAGGAGCATTAATGGACATTCTCAAATCCACAAATGATTTAAGCTATTTTTGTTACTTATTAGTACCCCAAACGAACTCCACAAAATAGTTGTACATAATAAAATACCATGATTCGTTTTATGTTTCTGAGAATCAATACAACTTCAAATCCCGAAAAGGGTGAAAAAGTAAAGGATTTAGCAATCCTAAAACTCTTCTTTCTTAGCTTCAATGTGGATGGACAACAATTTCTACAGATGCAGACATCTCAGATAAACAAATGCCATCTATACGAGATCACAAACTGGAAGGTGGTGGCCGTGCTGGTGGTGGCCGTGATAGTGGCAGCCGCAGTGGAGGTAGCATTCAATTAACATGGAGCTGGAGGAGCATTATTGTGTAACGGAGGGTTGGGAAAGGGAGAAGGCGTCCTCGGACTCACCGTTTTCCGACCTGCAGGATCTAAGCTCATTTGTGCATAATGATCAGAAGCAACAGCCACTGCATGCCCACAAGGAATTTCAGTTAACTCTCGTGCTTTGGCAACACAGCTGTTGTTTAGGTAATTCTTCTGTACTGCCACGCCATGAATGAGCAGAAGCAGAAGCAAGCTAGAAAGAGCCCTCATTGCAATGACAAGTTAATGTTATTGAAGTTGAACTGCTCTTCATTAATAATGATATATCGTGAAGGACTTTGTTCTGTTGACCCACTTTTGTAGGGTAAACGGGGTAAATTTCAGGGAAGCTGGCACATAATTGAAGATATAATTTGAAGATATAATAATTATGGTCATTAGATTCTGAGTAGGTTCCAACTTTAAATACATTTCATTATCAATTTAGTGGTCACAATATATTATGTTTACTGTTCAAATTATGTTTCAATAGTATTAGTGATTTCAAGCATACCCTTGAGTTTTCCAAAACATAAAAAGAACCTCTGATTTGTGGAAGGGTAATTAAAAACATAGGATAAAAAATAAGGATCAAATGACTCCGGTGATGACTAGATCAATGCATTATTGCTTCAAGAAAAGTTCCATCAAAGTTCATTATGAATATTTAAGTCTCTATTATGAGATCTATGGACACTATCTAATAGTAAGAAGTATAAAAAAAAAAGATTTTATATAACAATTAACCTACTATTGGCCATATTTCTCTTTATCAAGAAATTGAAAAAGTCATACAAAAGTTTTACAGGCCTATTCATACGCTACCTTAATCATATGGTAGCTAAACTAAATAATTCTATAATACCAGTAAAAATTCAGGTCTCTTGAGTTCAACTAGGACCATAATTTCGGAATTCCTAGGTTAATCAAGATTAAGAAAATGAAGTTTTCCAATTCCTGACTCGAATCTATTGTCAAATTCTATTCCCAAGAATATAGAGGCCCGTATGACCGATTAAGCTAATCTAATCTTTCATAATAAATTGATAAACGACTATTATAAGATTAATAGATCACTTCAAAATGACATATACATCACATATTCTACATCAATTACACAAGCTATTGATACATCCTTTCATTAGGCTACATCCATTTCATTAGGAATTGACAACAAAGTTCAATTTTTAAAAAATTAATCACCATCGTTATGAGGATGTACACATTGTAAGATAAATTATGTCGAATTATTGAGATATGGAATACTACAAGTGAATATTTGCAACAAGAAACAAATACCAACTTTAGAATTGATTGACCCTTTTAATCAAGCCCATATTTTTTGCACATCTTCCTTTTGAAAATAAATAACACACGGACGCCTCCGACTTTGCAAAACATAACGCCATCAACACTATTCCTCAAAATATCAATTTGGTATTTATTATCCCTTGTTGGAACAAAAGAAACATGTTATCCAACTTACTCAATCTTTTCAAGTTCAAAAAAAATAAAAATTATCCACCTTTTGAACAAAGGTAATTCTTATTTGAATGAAAGAGGCTCGTTTCCAAACGATTTTTCCTTAGATATATGACATAGTCACTAATCAATCTAAGTCAAGCTCAACAAAGAGTTGGCCTAACTTGTGAAAAATGACTCTTAGTTTGATCCCCAATAAGAAAGATTTAGGAGAATTAAATTGGGTATAAACTTTATCTGTGATATTATTTGCGTAAAGTGACTCGAATCCTCAACCTAAAAGGTATTAGGACTTTGAGTTTTGGTTAAATAACAGAAATATCCCTTGTTAAAAAACTGACCCATATAAAGGGTGTTTTTGATGTTAATAGAAAGACTTTTTTACCACCCCTTAGATCAAAACTAGTACAAACTTCTATGAGTCAACCGCGCCTAAATCGGGTCAATTTGTATATTAGATCATTTATGCATAAAACCCATCACAGCCTCAATAAACTGGGCAATTTTTATAAAAACCATTTGAACTGTGTGAATTATAAAAACCAGGCGGGTTATTTTCTTGGTATAAAGATACTTTTTTCACTTTCTGTACTCTTGGCCTATACAATCTCAACCCACCATCTTCTTTTTTCTCTTTGCTAGGTATCAGGGTCGTTTTGCTAGGTATCAGGGTCGGCCCAGCAGTGTTGAAAATGAAGTTTGGGCTTCAGTTCTCAAATTTTTAGAAGATCCTATAATTTTAGATACATTATTAGCCCACAAAAAATTTAAATCTATTAAATTTTAAGGAAGAAATTGTAAGAAGGTCTACGAATTTGAAGAAATATATATATATATATATATATATATAATTTTAAAGCATATCCCTAAAAAAAGGAAGGGGATGGAAAAGTGAGAGAGACCAAAAGTTATGGATATGATTTATTATAAGTTTTGGAAAACTATTATATATTAAAAGGGTATTCAAGTCTTTCTATATCAAAAGTGGATTTTTTTACAAAATATTTTTTATTATGTACGTTTGACCATTAAGTCTAATTTAGTGTACCAGCTTCCGAAATACCTAATTTTAAGCTCTAAAAAAAGTCTCAAAAAATTAAGTCCAATCAAATTTTTTATTGTAATAATTTGGGCCTATGATCTAATCCATAATATTAGAAACTTCAAATAGAAGTTAATGTTGAAGTAAAAATACTTAAGTTACACCATTTCTAATAGTTTAAAATTTTGGAGTAGATGGTATCAGAGTAGGAGGTCATGTGTTAGAATCTCGCCACCACTCTAATTATTTAAAAGATTTCCACATGGTAGGCCCCAAATCTAGCTTGCATGTGAGGAACTTGTTAAAGCAAATACTTAAGTTATACCATTTTCAATAGTTTAAACTAATGTTATCAGAATTGGACCGGTTATCGAACCAGCTAAGGGACTGGGTCAATGGTTCACTGGTTCAACCAGTGGATCACTAGTCAGACCAGCCATATAATAAAATAAATAAAAAATATATATACTATAACTTGTTTATTGAATTAATGGACGATCGACGATGAATTAATGGACGATTGAGTTGAATACTATAACCTGTTTATTGAAATCAACCACCATTCAATGAAATCAACCACCATTCAATGAAATCAACCACCATTCAATAGTTAAAACCAATGAAATCAAAACCAAAGAAATCAAGTCTGACAGAAGCACAAACCATTTTTGTTTACATCCAAAATCAACCACCAGATTTGGTTACTGAGATATGAACTAATGAAATGAAGTTTTACCTTAATTTACAGTCTGATAGAAGCAGTAAGCATTGATCGCAGCTACCTGATGTCGCCTGAGTTCGCTGATCACAGTCGCCTCGCCTAGTCGCTGATCGCAGTCGTCTCGCCTGGTCGCTAATTGTTGTGGCTGATCAGTGATCACAGTCGAAGATCCCTGGAGCCTGATCGCTGGAGCTGTGACTTATCGTAGTCGAAGACGACGAAGAGTCCCTGAGTCCTTGGTCACTGGAGCCTGGCGGTGGTGGTGTTGTGATTTACTGATTTAGGGCAAAAAAAAGCCCCAAATACCAAAAATATAGATTTAATTTGTTTATGTAATTTAATTTTTAAATGAGCATTAAACCGTCCAGTTTCTAAAAAATCGCCGGTTCACAATTTTTGTTAAAAATCGGCTGATTTTTCGATTTTTAAGCGGTTCACTTTCTTAAACAGTTCAATTAAGGAACCGGACCGGTTAGGATCCCGGTTCACTGTTGAACTGGTCTGGTCCGGTTTTGATAACACTGGTTTAAATATTTGGAGTAGATGGTTGTTCACCAGTTAAAAAAACGAAAGTACTCAAAAAGTCAACTCATATTTACCTCTTTCTCTCTCTCTCTCTCTCATCTTTTTTTGTCTCTCTCTTATATTTAAAAATTAAAAATAAATTAATTTTTTTAAAAATTTAATACTAATAAAAAGCATCATTTAGTGTTTTCATTTTAGGTCTCAAGCCATCCTTGCTAGGTATGAGGGTCATGAACAAATTTTTTTTGGGTATGAAGGGCCAAGGACTTCCTTGAGTCAGAGCCTCTTTGCTAGGAGAAAGGGCTCATTTTCAAATTTCTTCTAAGTGTGAGGCTCGAACCCTTCATGGAGGCAAAACCTCTTTACTAGGGGAAAATGGCCAATATCAATTTTTTTCTAAGAAAGAAGGCAGTAGCCCTTTATTGAAGTAGAGCTCTTTGCTAGGGGGACTGGTTCATTATTAAATTTTTAGTTAATTAGGGTAGGATCCCTTATTTAATTTGTAAATCGATTTTAATCCTACCATTTTTTTAGTATAAAGTGAGGTCCTCAATTTTTTAAAATAATTTGTATGTGGTCCCTGGTGTGGTGTGAACATGTAGGAGTTGGTTAGTAATGTCAAACGTAACTTTTCTTCATATCAATTCCATAAAACTGAGTACAAGATATAGAGATACAATAACCTATTTTAGGAAGCTATTCTACGTCTGTACAGTATTTATGACTACAATCATGTTGGACCCTTGAATGAAGGGATTCCTAAATCTAAGATGTCCATAGCTGGCTAATTGCAGGACTCATGCCAACACTCCCCTTCAAGTTGGTGTGTAGATATCTCTAACACCTAACTTGTCAAGTAAGTCATTGAAGTTTCTGCTAGAAACTGCCTTGGTAAGAATGTCAGCTAACTGATCTTCAGATTTGATGAAAGGGAACTGAATGATCTTCTCTTCTAGGTTCTGTTTGATGAAATGTCGGTCTATCTCCACATGCTTGGTGCGGTCATGTTGAATTGGGTTGTGAGATATGTCGATGGCAGCTTTGTTATCACAAAATAAATTCATTGCAGAGTCAAGAGGAAAACCGACCTCTGTTAGCAAAACTCTAAGCCAAAGAAGCTCACATAATCCTTTCGCCATGCCTCGAAACTCAGCTTCAGCGTTGGATAATGCTACCACCTTCTGCTTTTTACTCCTCCATGTATCTAAGTTTCCTCCCACAAATGTAAAGTAGCCTAAAGTAGACTTTCTATCCAAGATATTCCCAGCCCAATCCGCATCCGTGTACCTTTCAATATTCAGATGAGTATTTTTAGAGAACATTAGTCCTTTTCCTGGTGATGACTTTAGATAGCGGAGAATTCGAATTACGACACTCATATGGTTTTCACTCGGATTATGTATAAATTGGCTTATCACACTTATGATGTAAGCAATGTCTGGACGAGTGTGAGATACGTAA